GAAGGAGTGGCTTTACAACAACTCTGTGACTGTTCTTGAATGGCCCAGCCAGAGCCCTGACTTAAACCCCATTGAGCATCTCTGGAGAGACCTGAAAATGGCTGTCCACCAACGTTTACCATCCAACCTGACAGCACTGGAGAGGATCTGCAAGGAGGAATGGCAGAGGATCCCCAAATGCAGGTGTGAAAACTTGTTGCATCATTCCCAAAAAGACTCATGGCTGTATTAGCTCAAAAGGGTGCTTCTACTAAATACTGAGCAAAGGGGCTGAATACTTATGACCATGTGATATTTCAGTTTCTTTTTTAATAAATCTGCAAAAATGTCAAAAATTCTGTGTTTTTCTGTCAATATGGGGTGCTGTGTGTACATTAATGAGGAAAAAATGAACTTAAATGATTTTAGCATATGGCTGCAATATAACAAAGAGTGAAAAATTTACGGGCGTCTGAATACTTTCCGTACCCACTGTACGTTGACTCAGTTACTCTATTTGTGCTCTTTAATAAATCACCTTTTTTCACTAGCACCTGGGTCTGTACATTGAGTCCTACCATCTGCGTCGCTAGACCACTTGTACTGGGGCACGTGCCCTAGTGTAAATCAGCTGTGCCCCAGTAAATACATTCCCATATTTGTAAGGGTTTTTATTAGACCTTTCTTCAGAAAAACTAAATGCAAGACAGTCAATAAACCAATTGACGCACGTAAAATAAACACAATAAAAACAAAAACGTGCTGCAATAACGCTGCAAAAACGATGCTGCAGCTGCGCGTGGAAACTATGTTCCCGCGCGGCGTGCCCATGTATACCGACCGTGCGCACGTTTCAAATGCCAATCAGTGTACGTCGCGCGACGAGCAGGTAAGATAATGTATGAAAACGCTGTGAAACGTTGTGCTAGCTATACTATCTGAACAATGACTAATTCCTCCTGTAGATGGATATCAGAAAATTCTTGTTTTTTTGAGGCAAAGAGAGGGAAGCAGAAAGGAGAGATGAGTTTGAGGGAGGTAAGACAAATGTTGTTGACAAATGAGCTACAGCTAATGGACTTGCAGGTCTATGTGTAGCTGTGAACGGTCATTCAGCGCACTGAGACGACTCCACACTTGGCTGAGGTGCACAATGGGCCAAGACAGGCTTCACCATCTTGCTGTCTTATCAGTTGAGCAGGAAGAACTTTGTAAACTGAGTGAGAGTCAAGTTATTGACAGGTTTGCCAAAATGAAGAATAGGTGCTACACTTTATTGCACAAAAAGGGAACTTAACTGCTTAGATTTGGTGGACAAGACGCTTTTAAGCTTGGGGAAATATTTAGCTTTACTTTGTGTATAGAATGTGTAGGATATGATATTAATTTGTAGTTGCTGAAGTCATATTTGGACATGTTTATGTCCTCTGTTTTTGGTAGCATTCATGTGTTTATTCTTTGAAAATGTAAAATGAAAAATTACATTTGATAAAAATTAAACCACTTTTGTGGTACTCTGAGGGAGTACTTATTAATTATTCGTGTGTATAACAACTGTATGTATGTATCTGTTAAGGTTAGTCCCCCTCACCAGGAGAACTGAGGTTGGACTCAAGATTGCCAACCCAGGTGCTAGTTAAAAAAGGGAGGTTTAATGGTGGGGAATGGACAGTAACAACAAAACAACGTATCCATGTACAGTCCATGTACAAAAACCAGCAAAGTAGGGCAGAGATGGTGGAGGAGACCAGGACGACCAGGGGAGTAGACAAGCTAACGGCAGAAACCAGGAGAGTGGGAGGATCAGGACGGACAGGTGAATTGACAACTAACCAGGAGGACTGGCGAACAAAAAAGGACATCCACAGCACAGGAACTGTCAGCGTGGAATGTCCAGAGATGTATAACACAAAACAAATAACCAACGTACAAAATGAGATCCACAGCACAGGAACTGTCAGCGTGGAAAACAAAATTACGTATAACACAAAACAATTAACCAACATACAAAATGTGATCCACAGCACAGGAACTGTCAGCATGGAAAACAAAATGACGTATAATACATACCATGAAAATAGGTCTGTTACGGGGTATGCGAGTTATGTTAGTTAAGTAAGGTAATGCTCTGGCGACGACGAAGCGTCTGCCAGAGGTCTAAATAAGGAGGCAGGTAATCATTGGGATGCAATGGTGGGGGCTGTACCCCAGTAACGCTTCAAGTTTAGCAATGCCCATGAGTCCTACCTCAGTTCTCCCTTACCCTCCTGGTGAGGGGGACTAAACCGTAACAGTAAAAGCGCTGACAGATACGTGTCTCACTAGCTTGTAAGTAGGCAAACAATATTTACAATAGCAAATGTTTTAATGCCGATTGCTGATTCAAACTTAAAATGTTTTAATTTCAACTCAGTGTCAACCAGTTTTCATTCTCAATTCATCTCTTTTCTTTACAATTTTAGACTAAAGATTTTTTTTCCAGCTCAGTGTATACTCTTCTCTGTTGATTTGTTTACCGTTTATATGCAAATTTCTTTCTTCTTAGTTTGATCTGTAAGGAGTGATTCAGTCTTGATGCTTCCCTCTCATGCCAGATTTACCCCACCTCTCTCACTCACTCATTTTATTTGTCATAAGTAAATTAAAATAAACATTACATATCAAGGGTATTTTTCATGGACTCCTAAATAAAGAACAATGTGATGACAAATGTTTTTCTTTCATACTTCCAATGAGAGAAATTGATGACAAGAAACACCATCAATATTCTCATATCCACCAGAGCTTTGGATGACATACTCATTCAAATTAGCCCACTTATCTCTGGATGAGTGGCTTGCCATTACCCTCAGCTTTTTCAAGTATAGTCTACATTACACTGGGACCTGCATTTACTGGCTGTATAGACAAATGGTTTGAGCACAGCTATATGGACATTGCTAAAACACAATTTGTGCCTTCCCAAATGAAGATCAGTGGAAGCATATTCAGAAAGAGTTCCACTATTTGTTGAACTACCCAAACTGTGCTGGCACAATAGACAATACACGTCAGGATTCATGCAGCAGCTAACAGTGGGAGTTCCTTCTACAAATATAATTGCTACTTCAAGTGAGGACCAGGGGGCACATGGCAGTGACAGTGATGCTTGGATGTTTTCAAGAAGCCAATTTCCATGGCAAGCTTCACTTTCCATCTACTCTAGTCCCGAGTCCTCTTTGTGGCAGATAAAGCTTTCCTACTGAAGGTTAACCTGATGTGACTATATTCTAGTGAGGGTGCAGTACACCTACAGAACTGTGACACTGACTTACTTTATTAATCCTATTTAAAGGGGATTCAAATAGATTACAAGAAAGATGCATTGTATTCTGTTGAGGTTGCTCAACATAAAACAAAGGTACACTTGATGCTGCTTAACTACCATTTTAGCAACTGAAACACTTAAATCTGCAAAGACCAGGTATGTATACAGCGCCTAGATGGATGAAGGGGAAGTGTCAGGAGAACAAGTGGTGGAGGGAGAGCTGGTTAAACAGACATTTTTCTCTATTTACATTCTCCACCCAGAATAAAAATGTATTTTTCTATCATCCAAATACAGCTTTTCCAAAACAGCTTGGTGTTTCAGTGTGTACAATGGGGTTCTTAACCTTTCTGGATGTGGGAACTGGCAAGCTGACATAGATTGGTCACATAAACCATTGGGGAACCAGACATGTTTGAAAACATAAAAAGAATCTCATTTGGATGAATGCTTGTCATCCCTCCAGCAGACTTCCACACTCTCTATGGCAAGGAGCATGAAGCTGGCCTCGGGCTTGTACTGGAACAGCATCTTACTAACACACAACATAACATGATGACCAGTCCTTTAACTTGTCTCCCTTATGTATGCATCCTTCCATCAATTCATTTGAAACTATAGGTTTCATTAGTGGTACCCTGCAATCACTTCTATTGGTGTGACCCTGAAGAAGCCCTTACCCTGAAGAACTCCTTAGTGGAACCAGAGTCCAGGGTTCCATATGCTATCTCTGTCTGTTTAGCCAGGTCTTCAGCACTTTCGATGGGAGAAACCATCCGCTCCACCGTCAGGAAGGCAGCCAGGTTGGCAGTGTATGATGAGATAATGATCAGAGTGAAAAACCACCACACCCCCCCCACTATGCGACCTGACAGAGACCTGCACACACAAACACAGAACACAAATAAGGTATGGTGTATTACAATCTCATAAACTTGAGATCAGATGATGACTCCATAGGCTAGCTGGGAAGGTGATGAGTATTGTGTTTCGTAGAATGACTGAAGGCCTTTGACCTGTTAAATCTGCCCTTTGTGACAATGTTACTGACTGTTGACTGTTTAAGTAAAATGTTGGAGGGAGACATCAAAGGTTACAATTACACGTGTTATTAGATTAAGCACATTACTTTTGCATGTGACTTGAATTAAGATCAGACCACATTTTATGATCAATTAATGCTGAAAACCAGGTCATTCCAAAGGGTTCGTGTACTTTATCTTGCCACTATTATTAGCATTTGCTAACTGCACTTGAAGAGAATAATATGCTTCCCAGATTCTGCATAATGACAAATCATAAATTATGTTTAATGACTTAGTGACATGGAAAATATCAAACACTCAGAGATGGTCTAGCATTCTATCACCCTCATGCATATTAATCAGAGTGAATTATTACAAAACCTCTCAATATACTGTACAGTGGTGTGAAAAAGTGTTTGCCCCCTTACTGATTTCTTATCTTTTTGCATGTTTGTCACACTGTAATGTTTCAGATCGTCAAACAAATTTATATATTAGTCAAAGATAACACAAGTAAACACATCATGCAGTTTTTAAATGAAGGTTTTTATTATTAAGGGAAAACAAAATCCAAAACTATAGAGCCCTGTGTGAACAAGTGTTTGCCCCCCTGTCAAAACACTGGTTTATCGCACCTGAGTTCAATTTCTCTTGCCACACCTGTTCGCAATCAAGAAATCACTTAAATAGGACCTGCCTGACAAAGTGAAGTAGACCAAAAGATCCTCAAAAGCTAGACATCATGCCGAGATCCAAAGAAATTCAAAAACAAATGAGAAAGAGAATAATGGAGCTCTATCAGTCCGGAAAAGGTTATAAAGCCATTTCTAAAGCTTTGGGACGGCAGCGAACCACAGTGAGAGCCATTATCCACAAATGGCGAAAACATGGAACAGTGGAGAACCTTCCCAGGAGTGGCCGGCCGACCAAAATTACCCCAAGAGCACAGCGACAACTCATCCAAGAGGTCACAAAAGACCCCACAACAACATCCAAAGAACTGCAGGCCTCACTTGCCTCAGTTAAGGTGAGTGTTCATGACTCCACCATAAGAAAGAGACTGGGCAAAAATGGTTTGCATGGCAGAGTTCCAAGACGAAAACCACTGCTGAGCAAAAAGAACATAAAGGCTCGTCTCAGTTTTGCCAGAAAACATCTTGATGATCCCCAAGACTTTTGGGATAATACTCTGTGGACAGACGAGACAAAAGTTGAACTTTTTGGAAGGTGTGTGTCCCATTATGTGTGGCGTAAAAGTAACACCGCATTTCAGAAAAAGAACATCATACCAACAGTAAAATATGGTGGTGGTAATGGGATGGTCTGGGGCTGTTTTGCTGCTTCAGGCCCTGGAAGACTTGCTGTGATAAATGGAACCATGAATTCTGCTGTGTACCAAAATATCCTGAAGGAGAATGTCCGGCCATCCGTTTGTGACCTCAAGCTGAAGCGAACTTGGGTTCTGCAGCAGGACAATGATCCAAAGCACACCAGCAAGTCCACTTCTGAATGGCTGAAGAAAAACAAAATGAAGACTTTGGAGTGGCCTAGTCAAAGTCCTGACCTGAATCCAATTGAGATGCTGTGGCATGACCTTAAAAAGGCAGTTCATGCCCGAAAACCCTCCAATGTGGCTGACTTACAACAATTCTGCAAAGATGAGTGGGCCAAAATTCCTCCACAGCGCTGTAAAAGACTCATGGCAAGTTATCGAAAACGCTTGATTGCAGTTGTTGCTGCTAAGGGTGGCCCAACCAGTTATTAGGTTTAGGGGGCAAACACTTGTTCACACAGGGCTATATAGTTTTGGATTTTGTTTTCCCTTAATAATAAAAACCTTCATTTAAAAACTGCATGATGTGTTTACTTGTGTTATCTTTGACTAATATATAACTTTGTTTGACGATCTGAAACATTACAGTGTGACAAACATGCAAAAAGATAAGAAATCAGTAAGGGGGCAAACACTTTTTCACACCACTGTACGTAGTGTAGTCCAATACAGCTCAATTTATAACTACAACCTCAGAAACAAACCCTATGCCAGTGTCAACAGCAGCTGTGAAGAAAAACCATGGTTAACAGAAAAGATCAGAAACTCTTTATTCATATTCATTCATACTAAAGGAATGTGGAGTAACGAGTTATGGTTTAACTGGCATACCAACCTTGGTGAGATGTCACAGCCCTGGCGCATGAAAGCACCCAAAGAAAACCAAAGGGAGTTAAAGATCCCGAACTCATTGGTGGATTCGGTTGTTAGTGGCAACGCTCCATCCTCTGGCTCCTCTAGTGTCCACTCATAAGGACTGAATCTGGACACCTACAGGGTAATATGAGCATTTATGTATTATTTTGGGGGGATTTTTTGGACTGTACTTACATGAAAACACACACTTTTACTTTGGCAGAAAGGTGTAGATTGTCATACAGGATAATGTAGACAAGCAAGATCTTGTAGTGACAAAAGCAAAAGTTAAATGAACAGGCAGCGGGAAAGGTTAAGTCACAAGTTGTGATTTCACTGGTGTGGATGACCAATTTTAGCTTGTCCAACCTTATTTTCAAAGAATATATCTGCTTTCAAACTATATTGTATAAATGTGTGGCACATCATTGAGAATCAGAAATTTGCAGCCATAAAATCTGCACATTATATTGCATTACTAGCATATATTTGTGTGTTGTGCATGTTTCATGTAAAACTCTTCTTCCCTGACACTTTATAATATCTATTAAATGTTTGTTTAAGTTTGATTAAACTTCATTCTTTGCCTTAAAATAGTAGTTTGATTTAAAAAACACTGTTAAAAAGCTTAATTCAAGGTCCACTGAGTAGCATTTTCCATAATTTTCCATAATTTTCAACTACATCTCACTGTCTTCATTAGCAGATGGAGTTAGACTAAACTCAACTCCTTGATAACTGAGGTAAAAAATGAACATGTTTGAGATTACTGAAAGAGTGGATACAATTATAACAGCTGTTGCGCTACACAAAAAAATAAACAGGACTAGAGGCTTTGTTACTGGAGGTGCTTCAGTCACATTTTTCCGAATCTGTTTCACATGCAATGAACAAACAGATTCTATTAGAATAAATACAGCTGTCTACACAGGCCACATAACTGCTAGGCCTAAAGCTGTGCTATACACATGTAACTGCAACCTGAATGTTTTTAAATATGTTTTTGTCAGTCTACTTTTATTTTACATGTGATGGGCTGTGGGCACTGCCTAAATGCAGGTGATCTACACTCAATACTGGGTGTGAACTGTTTATCCCCATAGCTTTACATTTTTGACCTGATGATGGCTCTACAGATAAAGGTCAGTGATCAACAAAGTCAGCAAGATTAATTCTCTGGGGACCATGAATGTTTGTACAAATTTTCAAGACAATACAATAGATGTCAAGAAATTTCAATGTTGACCAAAGAAGTGGACTCTGTCCTCTGTGAGGATAGAGAGAGGGTGTTTCAGCAGGTCAGCACTTGGGCCCAGCAGGTACAAGGAGTGAATTATAGGAATCTTAAACCAACTTAAGACCAGAACACACACTGCTGTGGGACTGGGATGGCTGGACTGTGTGAACATCTATCCAGAGTCTTCAAGTTACAAGATTCCAGCATTAATTACACACCAACACCTTCAGATCTCTGCTGGTACATCATACAGTTGCTCTCCCATTTGATGCAGACTCCCTAAAATCTATGACACACCTAACAGGCAAAGGTGCCCATACAAGTATGCATTGTAGAAAGGCACTTAATATAAGTAATCTTCCATTACAAGTCTGTTTGTGGGTTCACGTCTCTGTGTACAAATCATATATGCTTACATTCAAAAGCCTCACTACTTTACTGGGAAATAAGCAAGACAAAATGTTTAGTGCAAGGGAGAGTCAGAGCCATTGACGGACAAAGAATGGGGCAAGAATACAAATGACAATAAAATAGACATTGAAACAGCTCAGTTGGGTTTGTATTGCACTGTGGCATCTTAACAAGAAATAAATACAGAAGAAAACTTTCTACTACCCCACAGATTTATGTATTGTTGAATGCTGAAGGGTTATTGTCCACTGTCCAATGTGACAGAATATGTGACCACACTGCAGGTACTAAGTATGTTTGGTTTGAGGTAATTCTCTCCAGGAGCAATTGTATTTTTCAGACCATCAGATTGTTCATTACCTCACAGCAGGTGATAATGAGGAACTGTGTAATATGACTAGTGCTTGTAAGGGCAGAGACACACCAAGCCCATATAAAAGAACTAGCACCAATGAAGGCCAACTGCTCCATTGCCTCACATAGGCTTTGTATGGGCCAGCTGGGTTGAAAAAGTGATGAACACACCACACAGACTACAGCCAAAGGCCAGCTACCATGTGTGTTCTGCGCCTGCATGACAGAAATAATTCTCCCTACCAGCAGGTGGCAGTATCTCTATTTGCCATTCAGAAAGGGAAACAATAAGAGCTAGACTGTGGTAGTATATGCTATAAACAAAACACATCTCATTCAAAAAAGCTTCTGTTTATAGCTGCTTCTACGTAATTGAGAATATGTCTGATAAGAAATTACAAATGACACTTGTGTTCTCTGCCCTTGGTATTTTGGTTGTGGATGAAGAAAGGAGGTTGTTGAGATAAAAACAAGAAGAAACCAGACTAAATGGGTAAAATCATGGATACTACAGTGACCGGCTGAAGGGGCTTTCCTGAACTGTTCTCTTCTTGTGCATTGATTCACAAAGCTGAACAGCCAATCAGAGTGGTCTCTCTCTCACAGATGAGGCCTAACCAGCCAACACCAATTTAACATGTTGAATTAGCCAAAAGGCTGCCAACAGGGATCAACTAGTGCCACTGGTGTGGGACACACCAGGAGGACGAGTCCAGACAGACACTCACCAATGACGGCCAATACCTGACCATCAGCTTGGTAGTCAGAGACCCCTTCAACAATAAGATCGAATCCACACCCTTACCCCAGAGGAACACTGAATCATATGACTATATACAGATAAACACTTCAAGAGTTGGCAAAAGTTCTAAGTTTTAAGTGGGGAGCAGATACTTCAAGGTTAAGTTGGTTAAACTGTGGGAGTCTTGTCTATGGGCCATTAGCAGGCTGTCTCTGCAGATCAGCAACATTTTTATGTGATTTTGTTTATTTCAAGTCCAAGTGATGGAACATATAAACATCAACTGCAATCACTACAGCTGTCGTCACACACACAGTATGTCCATTACTAATATCTGAATCATATTGTGAGGTTCCACCTATGCTGTGAAAGCCATGGTAACAGTTTAGTACCTGGTATGGCAACACTACTGCTCTGGACCCCCTGCAGAGAGTGGTAAAGACTGTGGAAAAGATCACCAGGACTCCCCTGCCCTCCCTGCAGAGTATCTACCAGCACAGAGTCTGCAGGAGAGCTGCCTCCATCCTCAAAGACCCCACCCACCCCCAGCATGGGCTGTCCACACCTCTACCCTCAGGCCAGAGGTTGAGAAGTGTGAAATACAGGACTTCTAGACTGAAAAACTCTTTCTTTCCAACTGCTATCAGACTCCTAAACAGCTGACAGGGGTTTCCAATCAGGGATTACTTCATGTAATTGCACCTGTACTGTTTACATGCTCAGTTGCAGATGCATAACTACACATGTATAATTGCAGACCCACTGCTGACTATTGCACATACAGCTTCGATGTAGAATAAATTATCTCTTATTGTGTTCTCATTACTCCTGACTATTGCAGCTACCGCTCCGATGTAGAATATGTTATCTCTCGTTGTGTTCTCATTATATATTTTTTATATACTTATTATATTTCTTTTCACTCACTTTTTAAAGTGCCTTTAGATCTTAATGTTATTTATCTACTTTATATTTCACTTGTGTTGTTTGGCATTCAGTGTGGATGCAAAGTAAGAATTTCATTGTGCAGGGAAACATATTTCCATACTGTGCATATGACAAACACTTCGAATCTTGAATGTTGAGAGTTTTTGGTGGGAACAAAACACATCTACACACATAAAGAGACTCGCTTACCAGAAAGAGTACAACGCTAACTCCAATATAGGCAAAGACAATGCACATCCAGATTTCATAGGCAAGTGGGTCCAGAAAGGAGAAGACGCCTGGTTTGGATTTCTGTGGCTTTTTGATCATTATGGAGATTCCCAAAGACATGAAGGGTTTGGAGAAATCTATCACCTCTTCACGGACAAGAGTGATCGTCAGGGGAGCAACTGCTATATCTGCTTTCTGTTGGAAAGACAAAGACAGAATGAGATTGCGTGGCATTATGGTTTCCTCGTGGACCTGAGTTGACTGTGTAAAGGGGTAAAGGCATAAATATAAAACCTATTGGCAAACAGTAGGCTAAAAGATGCTCCATGGACTCACTCTTGTCTTTTCCTTCCATCCATCCACCCTACAACTTCTTCTTTTGGTTTTGCACATTCAACACTTCCACAACATACCTGCCACTCATGCATGCACTCCTTTCATTGCTGATGCCTTTTATGTTTACCTTTAGTTTTATTTATTGCATTATAGTGATATTTTAACAGTTTAAGTTGTAATACCAAATAAAATATGAAATAGAAAGCACTCACAAAACACAGAGATGCATTCAAGTGTTGCCTTGAAATAACTTTCCAAAGCATTCCCAAACTACCATGACCAATATCAAAAAAGTGCTGGCACATGTAAACTATGCTTTGCACCCTCCAGAAGTAGGGTGTTACCAACCTCACTAACCTTATCACCCATACTAAACATCTAGTCAGCTCAGTTATCATCACCTACATATAGTACCTTCCTCAGCTAACCTAACCTTCTGATTACTGTAATGTGATCTCCCAACCATCCACCCATTTATCAACATCTATGCCACCTATGGACCAGTTTTTCAGCATCACTTTGAGAAAGGATGCTTCTGATTTTTGAGATATAGCACAGGTGAAAGAAGACAGTTCTAGAGACTTGGTTTATGTGTGATTTAAAGGACATATCCTGGTCAAATATGACTCCAAGGTTCCTCACAGCAGCATTGGAGGCCAGGGCTATGCTAGCTAGAGTAGCTATATGATTAGATGGGCCTGAAAACCTCAAAAATATGCCAAGTACAATAACTTCAGATAATTTTACAGTAAATTATTCAAACTGAATTCTGTGAGGTCAGTTTTGGATTTAATAGTTTATTTTTAAATGGTTTTGGTATTTTTTCCCCATCCTGTTACAAAAGGCAAGGGAAAGTAAAACCAAAATGAGCAGTGTCACCACAGGAGCCTGATCAGTCATAACAGATACGCTATAAGTTTGCAACATAAAGTAAAAGAGAATTTGTGTGATTTAAAGAGCTTTATGTGGAAATTATGCTTCACTAAGTGCACTGGGGAAAAAGACTTGAAGTGTAAAAAAGAAAGCAGGGGATACAGGGGTGATGTGGAGTGTCATTTGAATTGAAAAAGTGCAGACCCACAATATTTTGTGCACCTCATGGTAATTTGCAACTGGTTTGATAAATATCCTCCCAAGTGTCCAAAGGTCACTCTGATAACATCACAGTGGGACCTGGTTGAACAGCTGACTCCAGTACTAACTTGCTCTGTTGTGTATGTGTGTTGGTAGTGGTGGGGTGATGACATCATCAGTGATTAGTCAACATCACCATCACTTTATTACAGAATGGTGAACTCTAAAAATTTAGAAGTCATGCAACCCTTAGTGGCTATTAACATACATGTGAGTACCTGCTCTCCTGCTTCCCAGTGTGTGTGCTTATGGTCTGAGCAAGTGTTATCATTATCAATTTTTTTGGGTCAAAATGAGCACCAAAATTGCACTGCACTATCTGATAAGCATGAACGCGGCGTCAACTACACCTCTCCTCCCACCTCAACACAAGTGCACTCATTCATTGCAGGAAAATACCAAACACACAAATGCACCAAAAATACAGACATGCCTGAGGAAAACTGTATGCCAACTGCATTTGAAGCTTTAAAGAAATTGTGCTGGCAGGAAAAAAGAGCCCATTGTAGCAGATTTGACTGCAATTTATGATTCATTTTAATAATTCCTAAACAAGAGCGCCAGGCTGATGAAGCAAGCCACACTAACAATGCATTTATTAATCAATTAATTCTAGTTACTGAGAATAAAAGAGATAAAATAAGACACAAGAGGAAGCCAGTTCTAATCTAAATAAGTTTATTTATATATGTACAAGAACGCAATAGGTAATCGGGATGTAAAATGTATGACATGGTACAGTTGAACAAAAGGATAAATGTATTTGTGAATGAATGAATGAGTAAGCTATTAGTTAGGTGGAAAAGGAGTTAAATTGTCTAAAATCACATTAGATTATGGATCTAAATTCTAGTATTTAGATAAGAATTTGAAGAGAAAAATAGTTATGTTTCTGGAGGTTATGGCTTTTGTAGGAGCGACTACTGTTTTATGAGATATCAGTCTATCCATGAGGTCACTTATCTGTTAGCCGTTAGCCGGACTCCGAGGCTTCACGTTTTGGGAGAGAAACGTTGCTTTTGGGACCCATTCTGGGTCAGAGTGGAGTTGTGGTTGTTCAAAGTTCTGGGACTTCTCTAGGTTGAAATTCAGAATGTGTCCATCGTCATCGAACGGAGGGTCTCCCTCTTTTGTTGTTAGATTTCTCTCCTTCTTTGGTTGTGGCCTTTGTGCAGGAGCTGTGAAGGCTGGAGGCATGGTCCTTATGCGTGGTGTTTTAGAGATGTCTTGAAGAAAACCGCATATCTGAGTTGATCTGAAAATGTATCTGCAAATTTACAAACAATTTGGCTGACTACAAAACTTCCTTGGCTGAAGGCTTTAACCTGATGCGTTAAGACTTATTGCTGTTTACACGAAAAAAATTCAAACATCACAATAACGTTGCTAAATAAGGAAAGCACTTATTGTAGTGTGGCGAGTGTGCAATTTTAACAAAAATGAATGAAATGCAAATACACAAATAAATGAGGACAAAAGACAGGACAAACAAACATTTTTGAAAGACAACTCCTTATTGAACTCAGAACAAAGGAAGGCAGAATCAACAGCTATTCACTAGACTTGGGTGTTGTCTGATTGGCTGAGTGTCATCCTATGATTGTTTCAGATTCTGTTGTCATGGAGATCTTTGATATAACTGTCATTTGTAAAGGCTGTGCCACCATAAATGTAGTATCCACTTCCAATCACATGGTCACTAGTGGTCCCATCTAAGGTTAGTTAAGGACATGTCGGCCTTTCCTCTGTAATAGATAAGATGTAAACACTGCACTGAATCAGGTAGGTTTAAACCATATATAAAAAAAATATTTCTGGTAGTTTCATTGAACATTCTACACCCTTTGGCTCACATTATGGCCAATATAATATTTTCACTGTTAGAAGAGAAAGAAGATTAATGAAGGAGTCTTTTCCTGCAGTGACTAATTAAACATGAATAACAACTTTATCACTGCTTTTACCAAACATTTCTAACTTTCTTTTAGATACTGCACACACCATTCGATTATAGGATTCTACATTCTTCAAGTCTAGAACATATATTCAGCATTACAAGATGCCCTATGTTGTCACAGTTATATCAGATTTTACCTGAGGTCAGAGGTGTTAAGTCAAAGACTGTATATTTCACCATTCAAACTGAAAGACAGTTGGGGTCCTGAAGTCGAGAAGCCTGGCTACAATAAGCCTCTGGTTTTCCATCTGGTATGGGATAGGACAGTGGGGAGAATGGTGTGATAAGGCGTTATGCAAAAACCTGTCTTTGAGACACAAGCCAGAGCCTGGCCTCATGTAAAAGTGAGAAGGGGGTAATGAGGCAAAACCCCTAGCTGAGAGAAACCAGAGAAGGCCTGGCCTATGTGGTGGGGGTCCATCTGTCCATCTGTTTTCTCCTCACTGCCTGGGACCAAAGTTAGTTAACAGCTGATATAGAATCAGCCTTTCCAAGACAACTTGCTGATCTTACACCCTAGTGTTCACCAAGACTCACATACCTCACCACTACTTTGAACAGTAGCCAAAGAGACTTTTAGTGAAATTGAGTGTGTGTTTTAAACCTTACCCCATACACTAGCTCTCCAACCATACCATTCCAGATCTTGGTTTCTGCATCTCTGGCTCCATACTTGCCATCTCCAACAATCTTTAGCTGGTAGCGTATACCACAGTGCTTTGCGATCTCTGCAGCCAGATCAACGCAGTAACCTGGTATCAGTGCACAAGGAAGACAAATCAGTTTTAGACTAACTCCCAAAAACTGCATATACAAATATTCAGCAGGGTTTGATGGTGGCGATAGTTTTTCATCAAAACTACAATATATTATGAACAGATACTATGTATGAATTGTATGAAAATACACATTGGGTTTAGAAGCTGTATGATGGTGTTACATTAGATGGTGGCAGTACTATTGCTGTGTTATTTATGGGGAGCTCTATGTGAAGGTCTAAGAGAACACTAGAGACAGTAGAGCAGCTTTTCTTTCACATAACATCTACCCAAAAGTAGCATCATTAAACACACACATACAAGCATACTGTACCTTCATAACGTTCATTATCTTGAAAGAGCTCAGAATTCTTCTTAAGCATCACATAGGGGGCTTCCTACATACACACACAAACACACAGTGAATAGTTCTTATTGTTTGTCACAGTTATTCCAACATGGCATGCTTTACTATGAATTATATTATTCATAGTTCACACGTTGCACATATTGCGCAGTGTTAATTCATGCTCAACCTGATTGTTCTGGTTTTAAAAAACAGCCTTTCCATTAATTAGTACCATACTTTTATCCACTTTTGTTCCAGCACTTATTTTGCAGTTTACAATACAATACAACTTTATTGTCCACCAGAGTGGAAATGTGTTCTTGACCACACCTTTGTTGAGCACAGCTTGAATGCACTAAACTTTAGAAACAACATGTAAAGAAAAAAAAATTAATAGAAAAACTGCCTCTTTTTTGTTGTTTTGTTTTGTTTTAGTAGCTGCTTATGTCTGAGCTCACTTTATCCTGAATCCTCTGAACAGCTTGTGTACCTTTACTTATTTCCAATACAAATTCTTGGGAGTTTTTACTGGGCCTGCACATTCCCATTGGGTGTCATGGTGGCAAAGTCACTGCATCCTTTTACTTATTACCAGTATAGTTGTAACGATGACCGTCTTGTTTTCCATTCCAAAGGTGTCATTAGGATAAAGGTCTGATTTTGTCACAACCATTTTATCCAGTTCATTCCAATAGCCAATCTAAGAATGCACACACACATAGAGAGAGAGAAATAGTTTTTATTTTCAGCATGGCTACATGCTATCATGTTCTTCATTGCATTCATGATGGCAAATTGAATGTGCAATTACCTTAACAGGTCCATTGTTCTTTAGCTCCATGATCGTGACAGAATAGTTGATTCTCTTTCCATACTGGTCAAACTGAATGTTCCCTGTTAACCCATCTACACGCACCTACATTCACATATACACAACATGCACATATATTCAAGTAAAGTTTTTAAATTAGGGCACAAAAATATTCAAGATTTTTTTATTTGCAGCGTTTCAATATGCAGTTAAAGTATTAATACCAATGTAAGCATTAGGTATGAAGTAATTTCCCATTTATTTCAATAAATTACTAAAGAAATCCACCTGCAAAATCTGATATGTTTTATTTGAAAATATAGTGGGGTGTTTTCAATGAATGTAAACCAAAACAACAATAAAGTCTATTTCACTATTTCAGTGATTATGTTTCTAGATCCTTATGGCTAGATCCTATTATGTTTCTAATAACGACACTACTGCAAATATTACTGCATTATGAAGCACAGCTAAAATAAAACTGAAAATAAAAATACAGCAACAGCTCTGATGGTGCTGGACTGGTACTGAACGAGGCCACTTTGTTTCACTGTAGAAATTGTGAATCTGCATGCAGCAGCTGCCTGTTTGCTGTGCAGAAAAGCATTTATATTTGTAAGCCTACCATAAATACAGAAAATTGTAATCGTCATCAGAGTTGCTGCTGTTGTGCCATGTGTTGCACACAGCTCCTCTCTTAATGTGGAGATGTATCGTGTATCAAATATATCACGTATCAAATATATATATTTATTTGGTCAGTGTGACACAGAGACGGAAAACTGTAATGGTGAATACAGAAGTGTGAGAGTTTCCAGCCCCTGGGAAGACTGCAAAGCTGACACTTATCATTCACTAGGCATTTGGACCAAAAACAGCCCTGCATTAAAACAAGGCAAAGAGCTGTGTTGGTGGGAAAGGGCTGTCTGCTGTGCCAGCAAGAAAAACAAATATGAGCCAGCAAGATGAATCTGAGTAACAGATCAATGGGCCTGCAGATTAAGCACAGTGGTTTATAATAATATGAGACAAGATTTCACAACTCTGTAATGTTATCACAACGGCTTCTTTTGTAACTGTGTCGATGTTGTGTTCATGGTACATAGCAGTGTCAGGAATGTGTGCTTGCATGTATTTGACTGGTCATCACATTGCCTTGCCAAATGATGCTGCACTGTGTTGCAGAAAACATGGAGCTAGGTTGAACTTTCTGCCAAATGACCACATTTTTGTTCCACGGGCCTCTGCTTTGGGATCCTGCCAATCAAGTCGGTCTATATACATGGCCTTACATCCTGGACATCTAAGCTTTCTCCCAGCAATCAAACACAAAAGAGTTTTTGATGCAGTCTCTGTTTCTACCTATAGTCTTCCTCACAAAGACTAACCACTAACTACTATATGCTCTCCTGTTACAGGACTAGGGTAGTCTATTTTTCTTCTTAATGAGAAGGTTCTAATCCATGGTTACCTGCTTGAGGGCACGTTCAATCTCCACCCCCAGTGCCCAGGGCACTGCTGGATTGGCCAGACAGTCCCCGCTGTTGCCACGACGACTCATGTCTATTCTCTGCTTGTGAAGGAAGCGAAATGCCTCAGTCATCACGTGGACAGCATCATAAGTGAGGGCTGAGGTATACTGAAAGACAGAAACAATGACATAAATAATTAATATGTTAATAACCCAATAAGTCAGGGCTGAGCTCATCCTCCTTGTCCTGGCTGCAGTGTGGCTCTTGTAGGATGTAAGGTGTGATTCAATTGGTCCAATTTGGCATTTGGTTCAATTCTGAAAGCCTTCATCCACAGTGATTAAGTTGTTAAACTGCTTCTGTTTCTCTGGTAACTCATTACAAAAATATGACAAAGGGTCAAACACACTCGCTAAATTTTAATCAAAATCACAAATTTTCTAAAAATAAATGGCCCAATTTTTATTGTGCAAGCAAAAAAGTGCAAAGTGGCAAGTATTGAGCACATGGACCGTGTGGGCATCTCCACACACATCTGCTACATTGGTTCAAGTACAGTATGTGCACAAAGACTAGCTGAAGTCAAATACAGTGAGCTCTGAGGGTGTGATTTTTAAATATGCTTTCTTTCAGTCACATGAAGGACTAGCTTCTTCAGTAAACTGTGTTGTATGGATGGTGCGGTGTGACACAAAAAAAACCCAGAAAAAACAGAAGCAATAAATCTGCAGCCAAGGCCAGATAGTGTAGGTTTTTGTAATCATTTTCAGACATGGCAGTATTTATTTTCAGGAATAAAACACAACAAATCACTGAATTGTTTTAAGTTGGAAAGGATGCTGTGGCACAAAGGATTAATGGGTCCCACTCCTGGTGGCATTTGCACATTAGTTAATCAAGGTAAACACAGTGGACTGTCATGCACTATGGATATTAAGGTGTAGATAAATGCAGGTGACTTTACCTATTTAATCACAATAAACACTTTTGTACTTTTTATGCCAGTTTAAATGCATCTGCTGGTTGGAGTGGTTCCTTTGCGCAGCCTAATCTGAATGAACCTCCCAGCTGTACATCATGTGGTCTGCAGTGAGTGTTATAATACTACACGTGGACAAAGAAAATTTCAAGGTCAGCAAGCGGTCACAGTGCTGCTTGTGCTGGCTGGTGCACTGCCATAAAGATAGGGCCCTAAAAAGTAGTTCATATTATGCCGAATATTGAATTCTACAGTAAACATCACAACAAGACTACGGTATGTAATGGAGATGTAATGGAATGATATTAACATGAGTATGCCACCGTGATCCTTGCTCCAGAAAATCTGAATTCTCCTCAATCATCTTTATTTTTCTGGAATGATGCACACTAATTTATCCAATGAACTAAGGTTGAATGTACAAATCTTACTCTGATCCGTGTATCAGCACCAGGATACTCCTTCTCTTCCAGAGCCTCCCACCGTTGGTCAAACTTGGCCACCACAGGATCGTCAAAATCTACTATCTGAAACCCAGACACATTTGCGCCTCCATACTGGATTTTAGAGAGGTCTCCATCTAGAAAACCCTGGAACAAGATTAACAACAAAAAGTTGTAATTTCAAGTGATGACTTGCCAAATTTTATTGAGGGAGCCCCAGACCATGCAGGGCATGTAGTCTGTCTCCCAAAACTGACAAATACTATTAAGACACATTCTATTAAAGCTAGAGTTGGCGATTCTTTCTAGAAGCATTGTTTGTTACATCTTGAAGTTCTCTTTTCATCATGATGGCAATGAATACATTAAATGCATTGACAACATAAAGAAAAATATCCATCATCTGTGGCAGCGGCAGAGCTGAAAAAAGCCTGACCAATAATTGTAATCAGGACACACAAAACCATTGGATGGCCTAACTGCCTATCAACCGAACTTCCTACTTGCATGCACTCTGCCCTTTGCACTGACTGCACAAGCGAAGAGCCTCCCACAAGGCATTGCAGTTGCAAGTAGATGTGTTATTGTTCTGTTTTGATAGCTAAAGCTAGCAAACTATGGCAGAGAAGGTACCACAACCTCGTCTATTTTTTTCACAACCAAACAGCACAGGGCAGAGAATGGCGGTCATTTGTAACTTCTTATCAGACATATTCTCTATTAGCAGCAGCTATAAACAGCAGCTGTTGTGAATGGCAGCTGCTTTATTTACAGCTTGTATTTCCAGTCTAGCTCTTCTTCTTCCCCTTCATGAACAGTGAATACAGATATCACCACCTGCTGGTAGGGGGAGTTATTTTTTTCACACAGGTGCAGAATGTACGTAGATGTTAGTCACCGTTTGGCTGTAGTCTGTGTGGTGTGTTCAAGTGCCAGACAAAGGCGACATGAGGGAACAGTTGGTCTATGTCGCTGCTAGTTCTTTCACATCAGCTTGGTGTGTCTTTGCCTTGAGAAGTGAATGATTAGGTTGAGCCAGAGAGAAACAGTGACTCACCAAGTTGGCGATGATATAGTGGTATCCCTTTACATGCTTTCCTATCGTGATCACCTGGTGGAAAAGAGCACAAGACATACAAGAACAATTTAACTGTCATAAAAATTAAATGCATTGCTGCGTTTCAGCAGTCAATGGCCTACTGTTGCTGTCCTGTGAAAACCCATGTCTCCAAAGCATCTACTTTTCATGAGCTAAGAAAACAGTACAGTTTTCACTGTTTAAATACATCAAATAACCAAATGAATTGTTAAAAGTTGAATTAGCTGAAGAAGTAGAATAATTTTCTTAACCCATAAGAGAACACTCGATCTTTCAGTTTATCAATAAAAATTCAAAATCACAAATTTTAGAGATGCAGGGTTTTGACTAGACAGTGACATTATGGAATACTAATGTCATTTTGTTCTGTAATACTAATGAATGAGGAGAAGAGCAGTTGTGGTGGCATACGTTAGCAGTAATTATCATTATCACATACTCATGAGCCATCAACTTGCTGTAGAGTCAGTAACAGCTGAAGTCATTATGCAGAACACTGCTAAATCATTTGATCTGCTTATAGTTGAAGAGAGATTGATGGCTTTTCTTTTGCTTTATCACATACTGAGACAAGATTTCAGGGTCAGAGTCTGACTGCTGTTTACTGTCACATCAGGCAGTGATAACTAATACACACTGTCTTTGGTAGCAGCTGAGTGTGATTGGGATGAGAGTCAACAATTTCGTCAGCATTCGAATGTATTTTCTCCCTGATTTCTCAAGGTAATGTTGAGGAGTGAGGATAGTAAGTATGCAATATGAACAGAGCAACACAGTCACTCTATCAGCCACAAAAAAGGATGCCAAGCCTGAAACAGTTTCAGCCTGCAAACCCTGTTATTATTATACATTTTACAAACAAGTGTAACAGGTAGAGTAAACATCACACTTAGTTAAAGTGATAGATTTTTGTTTGTTGCATTCCAGCATTTTGGATGTGTTTAGTATTTAGTTCTATTTCGTATAGGCTTCGCCCTCTAAGAGCTGTCGCTATTGGGTTTATCCCTCGCGCATGCGCAGTCCTGAAGAGATTCTTTCGCGCCCTGTGCCCTGCACTGGGCTGTCCTCAACTACGTCCGCAGCAGTAATATAGATGTCACTGCGGCCTTAGCTCTACTCCCCTCTTTTTCTTCAGTGTTCAGTCCTATGAACATCGTCAAAATGGATAATACTAAAGAGTGAAGGCGCCGCCCCGCTGTCACCGAGTGTCCTGGCTGCAATACGGGCTTCATCCTGCCCAGCAACCCACACCCCCGCTGCGACGCCTGTCTCGGCGCGGAGCCCGCCGAGC